GATCTCTTGACCTCGTGATCCACCCGCCTCGGCCTCCCAAAGTGCTGGGATTACAGGCTTGCGCCAACGTGCCCGGCTTGTTTGTATTTTTAGTAGAGACAGGTTTTCACCATGTCAGCGAGGCTGGTCTCAAACTCCTGACCTCATGATTTACCCACACTGGCCTCCCAAAGTGCTGGGATTACAGGTTTGAGCCACTGCACCCAGCCTATACCATAAGGTTTGAGCCACTGCACCCAGCCTATACCATATTTTTATTGTACCTTTTCCATACCTGTAGATACATTTAGATACAAAAATACTTACATTGCCTACAGTAAACAGTACAGTAATATGATGTACAGGTTTACGGCCTAGGAGTAACAGGCTAACCACACAGCCCAGGTGTCCAGTAGGCTATACTCCCTGGATGCGTTAAGTACACTCTGTGTTCATGCAATGACAGAATCGCCTAATGACACATTTCTAAGAAGGTATCCCCATCATTAATTAACACATGCCTGTATTAGTGAGTACAGCTGAGGATTCTCTTAAACCACAACTGTCTACCCCTGGGAAATGGAGGGCTGTGTTATTTTGGAGAAATATATTAGCTCTTGCCAGATATAAAGCAGCAAATAGCTTCTGCTATCCTGAAATAAAGCAAGTGTTTTAAAAGAATACAGTGAGGCAATGGCACAGTCCAGAGTTAAGTAGCCACACAGGTCAAAGCAATGCATTGCTTCTGGTTTAAGGGATGTACAGCAAATTCATTGCTTCTGATTTTTCTTTTTTTTTTAAGTAGAGACAAGGTCTCACCATGCTGCCCAAGCTGGTCTCAAACTCCTAGACCCAAGCGATCTGCCTGCCTTGGCTTCCCAAAGTGCTGGGATTATGGGCATGAGCCACCATGCCCAGCCCACTTCTGATTTAAAGGCCATATAGGTAGCTGACCCGGGCTGAGTGCACACCTGCTAAGTGCTCGCTTCCTGGTCTCCTTGGCGCGAACCTTCCGCAACAGGTCTTCTAGCTTGCTGGATTCCTCAAAGTGAACCCTGAGGTCCTCATCCTCTGCTATGCTGATAATATCTCTGTAGAACAAGGATATGTCAAAGCCCCCAGGTTTCTTCAGGTGCATCAAGTCAAGGAAGATGCCTGTTGCAAGGATAAACAAAAGTGAAGGATGGAAAAACAATGTTCAGCAAGTTAGAAGCTCTTCCAGTTAAAATGAAATATGCTTTTGAAAGCTCCCTGAAAACTAGACTATTAACATTTTCAGGACTCAGAGAAAGTGGCCAAGGAAATCAGCTGCTATAATGACTTTAGACAACTTATTCAAATAATCACCATTCATAGTAATATTAAAGTCAAGACAATTGGCCGGGCGCAGCGGCTCACATCTGTAATCCCAGTACTTTGGGATGGCAAGGTGGGTGGATTATCTGAGGTCTGGAGTTCAAGACCAGCCTGGCCAACATTGGTGAAACCCCGTCTCTAGTAAAAATACAAAAATTAGCTGGGCATGGCAGCTCATGCCTGTAATTCCAGCTACTCAGGAGGCTTGTAGCCTAAGCAAGAGAATTGCTTGAACCCAGGAGGCGGAGGTTGCAGTGAGCCAAGATTGTTCCACCGCACCCCAGCCTGGGCGACAGTGAGGCTCCATCTAAAAAAAAGAAGAAAAAAATCAAGACAATCTTGTTCTGACAGAGTCCTTTGGATAGCTAATGGCATGGCCATTTGAGTGTTTATGTTATACAGGTATCTTCTCCTGGCTTCACTTTATTTTTTCATTTACTCTGAATGGTAAAAAGCAAATGCTTGATATCAGGTACACAGAAAGCAATAAAACTGCACTGGGCACAAAGGCACATGCCTATAGTCCCAGCTACTTGGGAGGCTGAGGCCAGACTCCTGAACTCCTTTGAATCCAAGAGTTTGAGGCTAGAGTGTGCTATGATTGCACCTGTGAATAACCACTGCGTTCCAGCCTGACCTCATCTCTTAAAAAAAAATTAAGTCCCAATTTAAGAGAACAGGGAATACACCCACCTGTATCTCGGAGATCACCGGCTTTGGTCCTGGCCCGGCTGGCTTTGGCACTGTCATTGCCGTGGGGGTTGTCTTCATTGGTGAAAAGCATGATCCTCTTATGACTCATCTTGAACTGGACATCACTAAAGAGGTTGGCACAGACCCACAGCACTTCACTGAGTGAGTAGTCAGATCCGTGGCCCATCAGCTCTTGGAAACGTTTCTGTCCCTGCTGCCCCTTAAACTGGTCAAGCTCTAGAATTCGTTTCGCGCCTTATCAGTGGCAGGGAGTCAAATGGAAGGAAAAAAATCAGAAGAATGTCAGTGGTTGCCTTTACCACAAGGCTAAAAGGAGGACCCTTTCTCACCCCAGAGCTGTTTAACCCATTTAACAAAGTCCACATCGAGCAAGGTCCCCTTAATGCAGGAAAGCATACTCCTAGATAAGACGTAACCTGTTTCCTTCTCCACAGTCCTCTTTGTTCAGACTACTGACATTCTTATACATAAGAGAAAAGAATATTACTGACCTGGATTATCCAACTCCTGTAAGACGTAAATATTTTTAAAATTCACTGAATTTTTGTCTTTCTCAGTACCATAGAACACCACTGCCAAGAGATCTCGATCACTGCTTATGATCTTACTGATGTACACACTTTGGATACACTGAAAAAATGAAATGTAAGCTCCATAAGTGCTCGGTATCCATTAGTTGCTCAAAATATGTTTGCTGAATTTGCATATGGCACTAAAATAAGGTATGACCCCCTACCTTCAGGGGCAATGAATCAGTGAGAGTAATGCCCATAAATATTAAGTTTTAACAAAAACCAGAACGCAGTAAGTATATAGAAGTATAAGCAGTCCCTGCCATGAAATCAGAGAATTAGTACTATGTATATTCAGGCCAGACACAATGGCTCACATCTGTAGTAATCCCAGCACTTTGGAAGACCGAGGTGGGAGAATCACTTGAGCCCAGGAGTTTGATACCAGCCTGAACAACATAGTGAGACTCTACAGCTTTCTACAAAACAAAAAAACAAAAAGATTAGCTGGGCATGGTGGCACAGGGTCCCAGTTACTTGGGGAGCAGAGGTGGGAGGATCGTTTCAGTCCAGGAGGCAAAGGCTGCAGTGAGCAGAAACTGCACCACTACAGCCCACCGTGGGCAAGACAGACCCTGTCTCACGAAAAAGAAAAACGTGTACATTAACAGGGAGGAAAGTGTGCTATGGTAGTTGGGGGAAAGCCAAGAATTGGAATCAGAAAATCTGGAGTCGAGTCCTGCTGATTTCACTTACTTAACTTGCTGAATATGGACAGGTCATGCGATCTTTTAAGTACCCTGATATCAAGAAACAGAGTTTACATATACAGTTGACCCTCCATATCTGCTGGTTCTGCATCTATGGACTGAACCAACCTCAAATCTTAAATAGTCAGGAAAAACAAAAAAATTCCACAAAGTTTCAAAAGGTCCCTCGTCCTGGGAAATGGGGTGCGGCCGGAAAGGCGGCCACCCTTCTTAAAAAAAAAAAAAAAGGAAAAACCTGAATTTGTCATGCACCAAGTACTACACTGAACTCATGTGAATGATGTGATGCATAGGGATTGTATTAGGTACTATGAGTAACCTAGAGATGATTTCAAGTATAGGGTAGGATGTGTGTAGGTTATATGCAAATACTATGTGTCATTTTAAGGCACTTGGGCATCCTCGGATTTTGGAATCCAAGGGAAGTCCTGGAACCAATCCCCTCCATAACAAGGGATGACTGTATAAAATAACTACAACGCTTCAGTATATGTGACCTGAAAATAAGTCAATAACTAGTAAGAACATCCTTGAAATAAAACTGCTTAACTATACAGTTAAAGACATCAGTATTCCAGTTACAAGAAAGCTGTATCTCTCTATATAAACTAACATCAGCATTTGGTAAATCAGGTCTTGTAAGAGTTCATCAGTTCAGCTGGGTGCAGTGGCTCACACCTGTAATCAATCCCAGCACTTTGGGAGGCTGAGGCAGGCAGATCAAGAGATCGGGAGTTTCAGACCAGCCTGATCAACATGGTGAAACCCTGTCTCTACTAAAAATAAAAAATCAGGCAGGTGTGGTGGGGTGTGCCTCTAATCCCAGCTATTCAGGAGGCTGAAACAGGAGAATCACTTGAACCTGGGAGGTGGAGGTTGCAGTGAGCCGACATCATGCCACTGTACTCCAGCCTGGGTGACAGAGCAAGACTCCGTCTCGAAAAATAAAAGGGGGGGCGTTTGTCAGTTCTAGGGGCCTATTTAATTCTGGGGCAGTAACAAAATTAAGTCTTGGGGACAGTGGCTCGTGCCTGTAATCCCAGCACTTTGGGAGGCCAAGACCAGCGGATTGCTCCAGAAGTTTGAGACCAGCCTGGGTGACATGGCAAAACAATTTCTCTACAAAAAAAAGAAAAATGAGTCAGGCATGGACATGCTTGTAGTCCCAGCTACTCAGCTACTCGGGGTGCTGAGGCAGAAGGATCGCCTGAACCCAAGAGGTCAGGGCTGCAGTGAGCAGAGATCATGCCGCTGCACTCCAGCCTAGGTGACAGAATGCCACTGTACTCCAGCCTGGGTGACAGAGCAAGACTCCGTCTCGAAAAATAAAAGGGGGGGGGGTGTTTGTTTTGAGACTCTGCCTCAAAAAAAAAAAAAAAAAAAAAAAAAAAAAAAAAAAAAAAATCCTCAAAAAAAAAAAAAAAAAAATTAAGTTTTGAAACTTGCAAAGCTGAAGAATAAACCAACCACGGTGATCCCCTCCATGTCCTGCCTAAGCCTCTAGCTGGCCTTCGTCTACAGTTATTCTCTCCTTAAATGTAGAAGGTATACTAGAGCTAGTCATTGACAACAATCCACATGGCAGGTAGTCATTTCCATAAATATTTTAATGTACTCTGAGCAGTTTGGTAAGGGCTCCTTTTAGTTTCTAAAAATTAAAAACACGAAAACTAAAAGAGAATTTCAGAAAATGTTTTCTATTGCTTATCACATACTTAACACTTATTGGTGATCAAATTGTGCTGATCTATGAATATCTTATTTCCTTGCTACCTAACACTACAGTTTCTCCTGAGGTCTTTAGGCATCAAAGTTTCCATTAACTCTCCAAAATTACACATAGAACTGTGAGTACTATCTTTATTCAGGGAAGAAATGTAGCTTACATCATATCCTCAAAGAGGTCCATGGTCCAAAAGGTTAAAGCACTGCTCTTCAAAGTGATGGCCTCCAAATCAGTAACATTGGCATCACCTCACAACCACTAGAAATGCAAATTCTTGGTCCCCACTCCAGACCTAGAGAATCGGAAATTCTGATTCTGGGATGAGGTTCTGTAGTCTGTATCGTAACGCCCTGGAGGTAATTCTGTTTGAAAACCGCTTCTTCCTTTTTTTTGAGATGGAGTCTCGCTCTGTCACCCAGCTTGGAGTACCATGATCTCGGCTTCATTGCAACTTCCCCCTTCCCGGTTCAGGCGATTCTCCTGCCTCAGCCTCCCGAATAGCTGGGATTACAGGCGTGTGCCACCATGCCCAGCTAATTTTTGTATTTTTTGTAGAGACAGGGTTTCACTATATTGGTCAAGCTGGTCTCCAACTCCTGACCTTGTGATCTGTCCACCTTGGCCCCCGAAACTGCTGAGATTACAGGTGTGAGCCAACAAGCCCAGCCGATTATTTTTATTCATTATTCTATTATTTTACTTTACACACACACATTATTTTATTTTATTTTATTTTAAAGAGACATTGTCTTGCTCTGTTGGCCAGACTAGGGTTCAGTGACACAACCATAGCTCAGTGCAGCCTCAAACTCCTGGGCTCAAGCAATCCTCTCACTTCAGCCTCCAGAGTAGCTGGGATTACAGGTGCATACCACCACACCCAGCTTATTCTTTTTTTCTGGGTGCAAGATATTTCAGTTTGCCAACTACAAAAAGTATTTTTTTTCTTGGGATGAAGTCTCGCTCTGTCACCCACGCTGGAATGCAAGGGCGTGATCTTGGCACACTGCAACCTCCACCTCCCGGGTTCAAGTGATTCTCCCACCTCAGCCTCCAGAATAGCTGGGAGTATAGGCATGCACTACCACACCCGGCTAATTTGTATTTTGATTAGAGACAGAGTTTCACCAAGTTGGCCAGGCTGGTCTCAAACTCCTGACCTCAAGTGATTCGCCCACCTCAGCCTCCCAAAGTGCTGAGATTACAGGCATGAGCCACCACACCCAACCTACAAAAACTATTTGTATACGAATTAGAACGAGAAGTTTCTGTTCAGTTTCAAATTCCAAAACTATGAGACACGACATATATAACAAATCTGTGAAAATTATTCTCTATGAAGTACACAAAAGAAACCTATGCTGCAGTATGCAACCTTGAACTCCTGGGCTCAAGCAATCCTCTTGCCTCAGCCTCCCAAGTAGCTAGGACTACAGGTGTGCACCACCACAACTGGCTGATTCTGTATTTTTTGTAGACATGGAGTGACTCCATGTTACCCAGGCTGGTCTCAAACTCCCAGGCTCAAGTGATCTGCCCATCGTGACCTCCCAAAGTCCTGAGATTACAGGCATGAGCCACCATGCCCAGTCAACACTGTTTTTAAATGTGTCTTAAGTTAAACGAAAAGGTAGTCTTACCTGGATGCTCATGTCAAAAGGAGTCAACTCATCTTCACTTTGAGATTCAAACATAGCCCTGGAGGCATCAACCAAAAAAATCAAACTATCTCTTCCTGAATATTTGTAGTCTCCTATACGGGGGGGGGGGAAGGGAAGAAAATGTTTGTCCTTATATTCATATTTATGTTTATCATATAAAACAAACAGGGCCCTAAAGGCCATAAAGCAAAGTATAACCTAATCAATTATAAGGTAAACAACCATAAAATCTCCACCTATGTCAGGAAATTGAGCCTTGCTAGACAACCCAGAAATCCCTCCTATATTCCTTCCCAATCACAACACCCACCTCCCCAAAAAAGTCAATATCCTGACTTTTTGTTTCCTTTTTTTTTTTGAGACAGAGTCTCACTATGTCACCCAGGCTGGAGTGCAGTGGCGCTATCTCGGCTCACTGCAACCTCCGCCTCCCAGGTTCAAGCGATTCTCCTTCCTCAGCCTCCCAAGTAGCTGGGACTATAGGCACACACCACCACACCCAACTAATTTTGTATTTTTAGTACAGACAAGGTGGTTTTTTTTTTTTGTTTTTTGCTTTTTTTTTTTTTTTTGCTAACTTTGTAACTTTGTATTTTTAGTACATACAGGGTTTCACCATGTTGGTCAGGCTGGTCTTAAACTCCTGACCTTAGGTGATATGCCTGCCTCGGCCTCCCAAAATACTGAGATTACAGGTGTGAGCCACCATGCCCCTGACAGGAAAAGCTTTTATGCAAAACTTATCACAATGTTGTTTATTAAAGTAAAAAGTTGGAAATAGCTAAATTGCTCAACAGGAGGTAGAACAAGTAACTTATGGTACTTTTATTTTTTTTATTTTATTTATTTTTTTTTTTGGGACGGAGTTTCGCTCGTTACCCAGGCTGGAGTGCAATGGCACGATCTCGGCTCACCGCAACCTCCGCCTCCTGGGTTCCGGCAATTCTCCTGCCTCAGCTTTCTGAGTAACTAGGATTACAGGCACGCGCCACCATGCCCAGCTAATGTTTTGTATTTTTAGTAGAGACGGGGTTTCACCATGTTGACCAGGATGGTCTTGATCTCTTGACCTCGTGATCCACCCGCCTCGGCCTCCCAAAGTGCTGGGATTACAGGCTTGAGCCACCGCGCCCGACCTTTTTTTTTGTTTTTATTATTTATTTTTTGAGACAGAGTTTCGTTCTCGTCACCTATGTTGGAGTGCAGTGGCACGATCTTGGCTCACTGCAACCTCTGCCTCCCAGGTTCAAGCGACTCTCTTGCCTCAGCCTCCTGAGTAGCTGGGATTACAGGTATGCACCACCACGCCTGGCTAAATTTGTATTTTTAGTAGAGATGGGGTTTCACCATGTTGGCCAGGATGGTTTCGAACTCCTGACCTCAGGTGATCCACCTGCCTCAGCCTTCCAAGGTGCTGGGATTACAGGTATTAGCCACCGCACCCGGCCTATTTTATGTTTTTGAGACAAGGTCTCACTCTGTTGCTCAGGCTGGAGTGTAGTGGTACAATCTTGGCTCACTGTAGCCTCCACCTCCCAGGTTCAAATGGTTCTCTTCCCTCAGCCTCCGAGTAGCTGGGGCTGCAGGTGTGCATCAGCAAACCAGGCTAGTTTTTGTATTTTTAGTAGACACAGGGTTTTAACACATTGGCCATGCTGGTCTTGAAATCCAGACCTCAGATGATCTGCCTGCCTCGCCCTCCCAAAGCGTTGGGATTATAGCCATGAGCCACCACACCTGGCCAAATTATGGTACATTTAAAATGAGCTATAGGCCAGGCACAGTGGCTGTAGTCCCAGCAGCTTGGGAGGCCGAGGTGGAAGAATGGCTTGAACTGGGGTGGTGGCTATTGAGCCACCATGAGCCGAGACTGAGCCAGTGCACTCCAGCCTGGCAACAGAGCAGGACTCTGTCTCAATAAATTAAATGATTTTATAAATATATATAGTGGCACGGAAAGATATATCCATGATACAACAATAACGAAGACAAAACACAGTATTATGTACATATGTTTAAAATTATTTTTGGAAGACTGGTGTAAATTAAAATGGAAAAAAATGTTTATGCACTATCATTACAACAATACAAGAAATCAGATAGAGGCTGGGCATGGAGGCTTATGACTGTAAACCTAGAACTTTGGGAGGCTATGGCTTAGGGGAATCACTGAGGCCAGGAGTTTGATACCAGCCTGGTCAACATAGCAAAACCCTGTCTCTAAAAAAAATTTAAAAATTATTGGGACTTGGTGGCACACACTTGTAGTCCCAGCTACTGAGGAAGCTGAAGCAGGAGGATCACTTGAGCCCAGGAGTTTGAGGTTACCGGGAGCTATGATGATCTCACCACTGCACTGGAGACTGTCTCTACTAAAAAGTTAAAAAACAGATACAAAGAAAAACACATATATATTTCATTAGGAAATAAAGATTGAAAGATACCTGAGGGAAAAATACAAAAATGTCAAAATCCTGGTAGTGGCTGTTTAGGATGATAGATTATACAGATTATAGTAAATTTTTTCTTTTTTATATTTCCTATATATTTCTCACATTTAATAAAG